CCCCAAAACCCCAAAACCCCAAAACCCCATAGTTGGAATAATCACTTAATTACATGAATTTGAGAATATTTGAATTAGGATTTCAATTTGAAGCATCTGGTCTAAATATTAACAATAAATTAAAGGAGTTTATCACTAAATAATATTTATATCAAGAAAGTATAGAAGATTAATTTAAATTAAAAATGTAAGGAATGGGTATAGGTGGAGCTTATCATGCAGCCCGCCGACAAGATGAATTGAAGCGAATGAAATTACAAAAGCAAAATCATAAGAAAACAATGCCCTACATGAGCTAGAAAAACACTCTCAAGGATATATACATGCAGACATCAGTCGTTAACAGTGAAAAGGTTAACATCAGTCTTGGAAAGAATGATGATAGCTTTTTTGAAGATTCAAAACAGATGTCACCCATGAAATAAAGTATGGACGAAAATCAATAAGTGGAAGGAAAACTCAATTTGAATCTTATGCATTTGGGGTCTGGACTTGATACAAATCACATGCAGGGCACAGAAAGATCAGATATGATGAAGTCTTAAAATTTATCAAAGACTCAGTAACTGTTGCTTGGGACCAAACAAGAGGTTGTATTTCTTAAGAAATCAGCGCTGTTCCGATACCATGGCAAACAAAATCTGTATGACAAGAGGTCACTGTTCATTCTTAATGGGGACAATCCAATAAGAAAAGTAATTGTTTGGCTAGTTGATTGGAAGTAAGTTGATTTCTGTTATTTGGATCTTCTTAATTATTACAAGTTGAATAATTAATTTACGTGTATGTTATAGATATTTTGAGTACTTTATTTTGGTAATGATACTTTTGAATTCCCTGGCACTGGTACTCTACGATTACAGTGATAGAAATTCAGAAACATAATGGAATTAGTACCTAGATATTGCTGGTACTGTTTTTACAGTAATTTTCGCTGTTGAATGTGGACTCAAAATCCTAGCTTATGGATTTATAATACATAGAAAAGCATACTTAAGATTAGGTTGGAACATTTTGGATTTCGGGGTTGTCATTTCAGGGTAAGTCATACTTAATAAATCAACACTAATTAAGTGATACCAAATTTCTAAAGATCAATTATTAATCTAGCTTATTTATAGTATCTTAGAGACTCTGCCTGGCTCAGTCAGACTAAAATCTCTTAGAGTTCTTAGAGTTTTAAGACCTTTAAGAAGCATCAACGCAATACCTAGTAAATATTTAATGCTTGTTATTTTTTACTATTTTAGGCATGAAGAAGCATGTTACTGCATTGATATAATCTATTCCAGATTTCTTTAATGTTGTCATTTTTCTGCTATTCATCTTCATTCTTTTTGCAATCCTTGGTACTCATTAATATTAAGGTATCTTTTACAATGAATGCAGATTCAATCGTTAGCCCGAAACACCTAATTCTTGGTTAATTGACATGAATTAAACTAGAGTTTGTACAAAAACTGGCTAAGGATTATTTACGTGTCCAAATGATTGATACTGTGGAAATCCGAGTGAATTCGGAATATCGTTGACAGATGATCACATTGGAAATTTCACAGCAATCAATTATGGTATAACAAATTTCGATGATTTAGCTTCTTCCCTCTTATCAGTCTTTCAAATAGTATCCACTGATGCCTGGAGTGTCTATATGTTCAATCTTATGGATGCAGATGTTCCATTTGTAGGAGCAGCATATTGTAAAAATAATACTTTAACCATTATTTAGGCATATTAATGGTTGTAATTGGTGCTTTTTTCCTGATGAATTTAATTTTGGCAGTCATCATTCAGGCATTCATTAAGATTTAGAAGAGAGAACTTGATGAAGAATTCTTGAAGTTAGAAGATAAGAAATAGGATAAAGATCAACTTGAAATACTAGAAGAAGTTGCTGAGTTTTAGGATTAAGCTGCAACTAGAGCTTAACCGCATGATCAAAATTAGGACGAAACTGTTGAGATAAAGTAGGATTGGGATCAAAATTATTCAGCCTATCCTAAATCAGACCTAGCAGATTCTAGGCAGAATCTTGCTACACATGACAATTACGCGAATGAAAATACAAATTATAATAAAGACTATGATACCTAGTCCAAACTTAAAAATTCTAATTCTAGCATGCCTACTCTTGGTATGACCATACTTACCAGCAGGGGGTTTGGGAAAAGAGTTAGCTAGGAAGAGACTCTTGTGCCACCAAATTTGCAAGAAACTCTTCCAAATCCACAATCCCTTTTGTCTGACAGAAGAAAGTCTAGAATTTAAGAAATGACAGAGGAGTTGCATGCTTTGCATGAACATGATGAACCTAAAACTGTAAAGTCACATGAAGGTGTAGCAGATCTAAGTTTCTTGAGACCAATCGCAATGAAAAGAAAAGTAGCAAATATATTTTCAAAATAGTCAAACTCTAATACAATAAATAGATCTCCAATTCATGAATAAGTTCATGAGCATACACATGAAGATGAAGATACAGATTAATAGAAAAAACTTCAGTTCTCTTTTATACCATCATAGGCTCTTCAATTACCATTACCAGACACAGCTAGAGATTAACAGCCAAAATCAGAAAGTCCACCAAAACGAAAAAATCTAATCTCTAATTTCTTGGCAGAACTAGCCGATAGAAAGATAGATGCCAAAACTAATAACCAAGATTAAGATATAGAACCTGATACCCATTAAAATTAAGAATAAAGCAAACTCTAACTGGCATTTTCAAAATTTCTCGAAAAACAAAGAACTGAAAAATAGTCGCAACAAGAATATTTTAATAATCTACTCTAAGAAACAAAACAAAATTATGAAAGAGAAAAAGAGGCTAATTAGCCTAGCAGTCTTAGATAACTTGCATCTTTGAGACTGGGCATTAAGATAAAAAGGCAAAAAGCTGATTTATCAAAGGAATATAGGAGGTTCAAATCAGAATACAGAGCTGAAAAAAATAAAGTCTTCAAAATTGCCTTTAGAATTTCACAGAACAAACTTTTCACAAGCTTTATCTCTTTGTCTATTGTTTTGAACACTGTGATACTTTCTCTAGATTCTTATCCAGAGGATGATAATTTAAACTTTATCTATGAGTGGATTAACACTGGATTTTCACTTGTATTTATTGCAGAGATGCTAATCAAACTAGTGGCACTAGGCTTGAAAGCATATTTCATAGATGCATTTAATACTTTTGATTGTATTGTGGTCTTTGCTACTGTTATTGATCTATTTGTCTCAAATCTTCTCTCATATGAAAGTGGTGGAGCTTTTACTGCTTTAAGAGCTTTTAGATTATTAAGAATATTTAAACTTGCTAAGTCCTGGAAGAAACTACAATAGCTCCTAAAAACTATTTGGAAGACTTTGAAAGATGTTAGTACATTTTCAATCTTGCTCTTTTTGTTCATGTTTGTATACTCACTTCTTGGAATGGAGATGTTCGCGTATAAAGCTAAATTTGATGCGCTTGGATTTATTGATATGGAAAATGGTATAGATCCTCCCTAAAACTTCAATGAATTTCTTGAAGCTTTTACTACTGTATTTATCGTTCTAACTAATGATGGCTGGTCTTCAATATATTTCAATTACTATAGAACAGCTGGAGGTATTATCTCAACTATTTTCTTCATTTCATTAATCGTAATTGGCCAGAAGATATTACTTAATCTCTTCCTTGCTATTCTTCTCGAAAATTTTGATGAAGACTCGCTAAATCAAGAGATTAAAGCGTAATTCAAAGAGTAAGAGCAAATGAAGAATGAGTTAACAAAAATAGAGAGATTTATTTAATGGGCAAAGGATAAGTTAATGGACTTTTTTAGTTTAAACTAAGATCAGAATTAATCAGCTAAATTTTAAGGCAAGGTACAAGGAAATTCAAGTGGTAGTGGAAATAGCTCAAGTTTCGCTAACTTATCCAATACAGTAAGAATATAGGCATCAACTCTTACTATGACTCCAAAGAGTAATCCAACAGCCAATGAAAGAAGAAGAAGGAAGAGGTTAAAGGACTCAAAACAGTTATCAAGTATAGACAACAATGTATATGTAGAAGGAAAATCTTTATATCTATTTGGAATGGAGAATTGGTTTAGGCAATTGATCTTTGATATTGTTACTAACATGAAGTTTGACTACTTAATTATTTTCTTCATTATCCTCTCTGCAGTTTAACTAGCACTAGAAAACCCTCTTAATGATCCTAATGGTGTGATTGAGTAAGTACTATTTTATATAGACACAGTTTCAACAGCAGTTTTCTCATTAGAGGCCTTTCTTAAGATAATTGCATTTGGTTTTATATTCAATGGAAGACCAAGCTATTTGAGAAATCCATGGAATATGCTAGACTTTGTGATTATAATCTTTTCAATTTTGTCTCTGACTCCCTTAGTAGGAAATTTAAAAATCATTAAAATCTTTAGAGTTGCTAGACCTCTTAGATTGATTAGCAGAAATAAAGGATTAAAAGTTGCTGTAAAGGCATTGGCATAAGCTATTCCTAGCATTGCAAATGTTACGATTATCACTCTCTTATTCTTTGTTATTTTTGGAATCATCGCAATCAGTTATTTTAAAGGCAAATTTTTCGTTTGCAATATTGCAAATGTAGACACAGCAGCTGTCCTTACTATATAAACGAAATGGGATTGCTTTAATGCAGGAGGGACTTGGCAAAATAGTCCTTATTCTTTTGATAATATATTAGATGCCTCATAAACTATGTTTTAAATGGCTACTACTTCTGGCTGGTCAACCATAATGTACACTAGTATGTCCTCAACAGACATTGATTATGTTCTTGTTAATAAGAATAATCCCTATTGGTCCCTATTTTTCATTGTATTTATCATCGTTGGTGCATTCTTCCTATTAAATCTCTTCGTCGGAGTCGTAATTTCAACTTTCAATAGAGAAAAAGATAAAATAGGTGGAAATAACCTATTAACTGACTAGTAAAAGGAATGGATTGACACTCGCTTATTGGTAATTAACTCTAAGCCGATGAAAAAGTTAAAGCCTCCTAATAATAGTATTAGACGCATTTGCTTTTTAATTTAGGAAAATAGATTTTTCGATTTGGTAATATTTGTTTGCATTTTACTAAATACTTTGATATTATGCTTAAAATGGTATGATTAGCCTAATGATCTTGATTTTTCTACTGATGTAATAAACTACATATTTACTTTTATCTTTACTCTGGAGGCTTTTATCAAAATAATGGCTCTTGATAAACTCTATTTTAAAGATGGGTGGAATATTTTCGACTTCACTATTGTGATAGGATCAATTGCTAGTGTTTTCCTCACATTATTTACAACTTTATCAATTGGAGGAGCAACAACTATTATTAGAGCATTTAGAATTTCAAGAGTGTTTAGATTGATTAAAAAGGCATAGAGCTTAAGAATGGTCTTTAACACCTTTATTGTTACCTTACCTGCACTTGCTAATGTAGGTGGTCTATTACTTCTGCTACTGTACTTATACTCTGTTCTAGGTGTTTATTTATTTGCTGAAGTAAAAAGAAATGGGATTATGAATGATGTGTTAAATTATGAAAGCTTTTGGAATGCATTTATTACTCTATTCATTGTAGCAACAGGTGATTCTTGGGATTAGATAATGGATTCATCAACTCAAGAAATGAGTATCACTTACTAGTGTTAAGCTGACCCAACCTACTAAGATTATGTTAAGAATGGAGAAATGCCAGTTGGTTGTGGTATTGGAGCTGCTGCTCACCTTTTTTACTATAGTTATATTCTATTTGTAAACTTGATTTTCCTCAATCTCTTCATTGCAATTATTTTGCAAGGCTTCGAAGACACATAGTAAAAAGAAACAAGACTTTTCAACAATGATACATTAGGCTAATTTAGGAAAATATGGGCAGATTTCGATCCAGAGGCAACAACTTTTATTAAGATTTCTTAGCTTAAACCATTGCTATTCAAGCTTGGATCACCTTTAGGGTTTGATAAGACTTTCAAGGGAAGTAAGGCAAAGCAAGATAACTTCATAATAAATCTAGACTTGCCAACATACAACGACTTTACTGACTATCAATTTTTGGATGTTCTAGATGCATTATCTCTGAGATTAATGGTGAAAGAAAATTTTGAAAAATCTAAGAAACGAGAGGAGGAGGAAGAAGAGATAAAATCTGACGGATCATTAGAAGAGTAAGGTCATGAAATAAAAAGAATGGATACAAAGTAAAAAGAAGAAAAATTTAAGAATCAAATAATTTAGGATATCAATAAGCTAAAGTTCTCAGAAGGGGCTCAGGGTATAGATGCTGTATAATAAGTACAGATTAAGGAAAACAAGATGTAGGCTTCATAGAAAAATGTCAACAAGGATAACTACTTTACTTCTTTACATCAGGCTGCAGCAGAAGTAGCTTTTAATCATATGAAATATGTAGTAGCAAAAAGAAAGCTAATAAAGAAAATAGAAAATATGGAAAATGAAGAGATGGAATACACAAACTAATTGATGCAAGATGCTTAATAATCAGTGCCAAACGTGGTAGATTCATCTGAAAATAGTATAAGTATTTCAAATAGTCAACCTAGTAGGCATAATATAACTATTCCTCCCTCTAGAGATGAAATTTCATCAAAAAGTTCAAAAAATGTATTGAGCAAGTTCACAAAGCCTGATAAAAGCAGAAATGTAATTAATCAAGAAAAGTAGGACAATCCTATACTAAACTATTTACAGAATGAACCTAATAATAGAATAATCATCCAAGATATGACTGATTCTAGGATTAAAGTGAGATAAAACACTAAATACATTTCAAAAATGCAAAGAAAGAAAAAAAATTCTGCTAAATAAAACAGTAATGACCAAAGTTAAATATAGTAGTAGCAAGACGATTAGTTAGCAGTACCTTAGGATTAAATTGATATCACTAAGTCAAGTTTTAGTATTAATTCCATACTTGATACCTCATAAGTTGAGAAGATTATAGAATAAGAAATAGGGGCTCATAGAATGCCAACTCTTAAATTTCAGGTTTCAAATTAAGACGATGAAAATAAATAAGACTATGATGATGAAGATACAAGAAGAAGTGGAAGCAATAGGAATCTGATGAGATAATATCATAATCAAAGTAAAACATAAACTGACTAGTCATTGACTATTGATTAGTCTAGAGAGTAGGTAATTAGAAATCTAAACAATAGCAACAGAGGCTTCATTAATGCCTAGAACAATAATAATGCATTTGGTGGATCAATGGGTGGAACTGGAGAGTACATATTAACAAATGATTACGAAGAGGAGAAGCAAAGTAGAAGTAATCAAATGTCCCCTAGTAGTAGAAGAATAAACAATAGATATGCATTTGATAATCCAGCAAGGTAGCTTACTTCATTTTTGAATTAGAACCATACTGATCAAAACAGATAACACTAGTTGCTACCATAAAGAGATGGTAGCTTTCACCTCTAGAGAATGCAGAGCTCAAATTCTAGAAATAGTAAAAGTGATATTTCATAGTTGATTTAAGAAGAGCTCACTCGTATGCTAAGCATTCCAAAAAATAAACAATATCTTGAACGTATTGAGGAAGCGGAAGATCAGCACGAGCTAGAAAATATAAAGAGAGATCTTTATTCTAATGATAACTTTATGGAGGAAATTTAGAAAGTTATTGAGAGCAAAATTACCACACCAGCAAGGCTCTCAGAATTAAAAAATGAAATAAAATAGTTCTCTGGACTCAATAGCATGTCAAGAATTCATAATAATGAAGAGGATATAGATATATTTACTGACAGAGATGGTGATTTCAACAATACTAATTGATTTTTAAAATATATAAATAGTTCTTATCAGGGATAAACATAGTTTTATTATATTCTTTTGCTGATTCTAAATTAAAACTTTAGAATTTATTATCAATATATAAAGTAAAGATTAATTTCTTAAGAACTCAATAATTTCGCAAATCTTCTCAGATGGGGTTTTGGGGTTTTGGGGAGATCGGAAGAGC